TGTTTGGAATCTTGGAAACTTCTCTGCTGGGTTTCTTTGCTCTCAAATTTCAGTAGTAAGTAAATACCAGCAAATGTGGTAGTCAGAGGCAGTCTGAGACCTCTGAGGATATTCTTCAAATATTTTGGATCACCAGAAGTTTCCAAACTATTAAATGTGCTGTTCTGATCCTTATGAAAGAAATTGAGGAATGTGCTATTGTCACCAAATCAATTACTATGTGTGCAAAAAAGTCTTTTTTGGCCATCGCTAAAGCTGGGCACATTCAAAAAGTGAATGTGAATATCGAAAATACAATTTGACCTCTTCCTAAGGACCAAATATTTTTACTGACCTAACAATGTAACAGATGACTCATAACATCCATGAGAGAAGATTCTCCATAAACCAAATTGAGGGATCATCTCTGGCTTGTAAGAAAAGGCCCAGTTCTTTCTCATAAGGCAGCGGTTCTCAACCTGGGGGTCGCGACCCCTTTGGGGGTCGAACGGCCATTTCCCAGGGGTCGCCAAAGCCCTCTCTCGCCCCCCCACGCCTTCACTCACCCTCACTCTCTGCTCTTGGATTGCTGGCAGTTCGTTTACCCCGCCCACTCCCAATCTATTGCTGCCTCCGATGGCTAGAGGAAAAAAAATGGTTTAAATTCTTGCCGCGGGGCTTCAAAGGGCCGCCCTAGAGCCAGTGGTGCAGCCGAACCCTTTGTTAAATTGCTGGCTTGCCCCGCCCCTCCGCACCACTATTTATTGCCAATAAATAGTGGTGGGCGAGGGGCAGGGGAGCCAGCAATTTAACAAATGGTGGTGGTTTTTTTAAATTTTATTGGCCCCCGGAGCTTCAGCATAGGCTAATTAGCCCTTGCTTAGATGGCTCCCGACCCCCAGCTGATTTGCTCTCAGCTGTTTTGCTCACGGATCTGCTCCTTGCTTGCAAAGAGTGCTGATTTTTTCTCCCCTATCTATGCTTAAAACCGAAACTGAAACTGCTTTGCTGTTGCTGCAACTTGGAAAATTAGGCAGGCAGATTTCTTTTCTTTTTCCTCACCAAAAAAGGTAGGTGCAAACAACGGGAAATTTAGGGAAAAAGAGGAGATTTTAAAACACAAAAGAAAAAAAGCTCTATTTAACTAGGGAATTGTAATGATTGAGATACTATTAATTGTATATTGTGTTGAAAGCAGAAATGGTTAAGTTGTGGTTTGGAGGAATATATGGGGGAAATTATTTGGTTTATTATTATTGGTAAAGATAATTAATTGATTTGTAAGAAATTGGATTGCATGGAAATAATTGGAATATTCATGTTCATATTGATTAATATACAAAAAAGGTAGTTATATAACTAATTGATTTATATTAAAATGTTGAATTTATATTAAACAACTGTAATATTACATAATTAACCAATGTGAGGATGGATATAAAAATATATGACAATGGGAAGGGGTATAATATAGAATAGAAGGGAAAAATTGAATTTGATTAAGATTAGAGATGAGGATGAAGGGTAATATTGTTTTTTTACAAAAATAGATGAGGAATAAATATGGCAAAAAGGAAATATAGAAATTGTAAATTTAATTGAAATGACTAAACACTGTTTAAATTTATGAACTGGCCAAATACTCTATTCAAAGAAAATACATTGTATGTTTGTATGTGTGTTTCTAATTATTGCTATTTATTCATATTTGTTCTCTTTTATTCTTTAAAGTTTAACAATTCATTCTTTATCTTAATATCTTTATATTTGTTTGGGGTTGGCTTTCTTCCCTTTCATCTTTTTTATGGTACAGCAATCTTTCTCCTCAAACCTACCACCTCTCTCTTTTCTTTCCTTCTTACTTTCTCTTCCTCCCCCTCTTTTTCTCCTCCCTGCTTCCTCTTCCTTTCTCCTTTTCCTCCTCTCTTCCTCCCTCTCTTACCCTCACTCCTACTCTAATTTCCCTTCCCTTCCTTCATCCCTCTCTATTGCTGTATCCTTTTATGCATATGGACTACTCAGAGGGCTGAAAAAGTTATTTCTGACTGGTCCTCGCACTTTTGACCAGTCTTCAAACTTACGACTGTCCTCACATTTTACGTTTTTGCCCTATCTTGTCACCATGGTGAAGAGAAGCAGTTGTGAAATGAGTGACATGGTTGTTAAGAATGCTGCACGGGCATAAATGTGAGGATGGTCATAAGTGTGAGGATCAGTCAAAAGTGCGAGGACCTGTCAGAAATCACTTTTTTCAGCCCTCTGGGTAGTCCTTTTGTGCATATGGACTACTCAGAGGGCTGAAAAAGTCATTTTTGACTGGTCCTCGCACTTTTGACCAGTCCTCGAACTTACGACTGTCCTCACATTTTACATTTTTGCCCTATCTTGTCACCATGGTGAAGAGAAGCAGTTGTGAAATGAGTGACATGGTTGTTAAGAATGCTGCACGGGCATAAATGTGAGGATGGTCATAAGTGTGAGGATCAGTCAAAAGTGCGAGGACCTGTCAGAAATGACTTTTTTCAGCCCTCTGAGTAGTCCCTATACACATAGCCATGGCCACCCGGTCACATGACCAGCTAGCCACGCCCACCCAGTCACATGACCTCCAAGCCATGCCCACAAAATAAGCCACGCCTACAGAACCGGTAATAAAAAATTTAGAACCCACCCCTGGTTGGGGGTCACCACAACATGAGGAACTGTATTAAATGGTCGCGGCATTAAGAAGGTTGAGAACCACTGTCATAAGGGAACATGCAAATAATACTCACGTGATAGAGAATTGGAGTATCTGCAGTGGTGGGTTGCCCCTGGTTCGCACCGGTTCTATAGAACCGGTAATAAAACTGGCAGGAGGCCCCGCCCACTGACCCTGATCTCATGAAAATGTTTCTGCGTATGCGCAATGCAAGCACGTACGTGGCCCCGTTGCGAACCGGTAGTAAAGATAAGTAGAACCCACCCCTGAGTATCTGGATTGGCTGAACCAAACCAGGCACTAAATGGAGAGTAGCTTCACCAATGAGCTTGTTTTATGGGTGAAAGTTTTAAGCAAACATGAAAATTAGTGAAGCAGGACAGAGTCTGTTTCAAAGTAAAATTAGTTTAAATTAATTTAACTAATTAAATTAGTTAAAATTAATTTTCTGCGAACAGTAAAACCTAACCTACCTTGAGGTGGTTTTGAAATTCCATCAATCAATTTTTCAGTACTAGACTTGGATATAAATGAACCGAAAAAAAATTCCTTTCCATTACCTGATGGATAGAGAGTACCTCACAAACAGTTTGATATTGATTTGGAAACTTTATAAAACTTTTGGGGAATTGAAAACTGGATTTAGTTTACTTCAGAAGCATCCCGGTAATTTATTCAATCAAATTATTAACTATTTAAATTATAATTGTGTGATGAATCAGGAGTCCTGTAGTTCTGTAACCCTCCTGGAAGTCATGGTTTAAAGTAGTTTGTATTCCATCATGCTTATAGTACTGAATTCAAAGCTGTAACAAGCTGATGGAAAAAAAAAAAAACAATAAGTCCTACAAGGATTCAAAAGCTATTTGGGTTATTTGAAGGATGCTTCCTCCTGATTAAATCTGCTTGTCCATCAGATCAGGCAAGAGAGGGGTCCTTGGAGTCCATCTTTCAAGGAATGAAGTAGACAGGGTCCTCAACACTGTCAGCGCCACCACCTGTCAGTAAGATCCTTGTCCTTCTGGATGGTGACTAGTGCCACTCCAGGGCAGTGACTAGTGGGTGGGTCCAGGCAATGATTAATATGTCACTAGAGGGCGGGATATTTCTGGAGGCAAGAAACCATCACTTGGATGACCTAACAGCTTTAGAGGGTTGTGGATGATTATTCGGAACCCTTTCAGTCAGGATTCAGGCCTAGTTATGGGATAGAAACAGCAATGGTCACACTTATATTTGGTGAGAGTGGAGTGGAGGTATTATAATGATCCTTGATCTCCTTGATGGCTTTCAATACCATGGTATCCTTTTAGGTCAGCTATGGGGGCTGCAGCTGACTGGCAGAGTTTAGTGCTAGTTCAGCTCCTTTCTCAAAGCTGGTTCCAATCGGTGTTGTTAGGGAATGAGAGATCCAGCCCTTGGCCATTATCTTGTGGCATTCCACAGGGCTTGGTACTTTCTCCACTCCTTTCCATCCTCCATATGAATCCATATGGGTGAGATCATATGTCACCATGGTTCAAGTATCTGCAGTCTTCTGACAATACCTAGCTCTATATTGTCACTCCTGGTGACCCAAATGATATTGTGACTGCTCTCTTGCAATGCCTGGAGGCTGTGGGGCCTGGAAGGGGAACAACAGGCTTCAACTGAATCCTGGTAAGACCGAATGGCTTTGGGTACATGAGGCCCTGATATCTGGGACTTTGTCATCTTTGAATATGGATGAGGTGGCACTACCCTGGTTCACAACTTCTCCTGGACATGCAACTCCTGTCCAAATAGCTGGAGGCAGTTGTGGCTAGGAGAGCCTTTGCACAACTTTGGGCGTTGGGCACCAATTGTGGCTTTTCCTGGATCAGGAATCACTGAGTTCTCTTATTCAGGACCTAGATATCTTACAATTGGACTAATGTAATACACTCTATATGAGGCTACATTTGAAGAGCAGTTGGAAGCTACAGCTGGTGCAGAGTGCGGTGGCTCAGGTATTCTTGGGGCCCAAAGAATGGCCCATATAACATCACTACTCTGTGAGTTTCATTGGCTGCCAGTCTGCTTCCAGGTGCAATTCAAGGTGTTGGTAATCACCTTTAAAGCAGTTCATGGCAGAAGTTCAGACTATTTGAGGGACTGTCTCATTGCACTGTATTGGCCCACCCCACCTGTGCTGGCATGTTGAAGGCCCAAATATTTGAATCCAGAGTCCAAAGGTAGAGATGTAAATAATTACCCTGCATTGATAGCAGTAAAAGAACACATTGATTTTTTTTTTAAAAAAAAGGATTAGAGAAAATCTGTTATTTAAATATGACTGGGGCTCCAGTTAGCATTCTTCTGTCAATCTTGTCTCATTTAAACAGTTTCTGGGAGTTTTGAAAAGGAAAAGAACTCAGAAGAAGATGGAGCTGACATGGACAGGAGTTCTGCTTCTTCTCTGTATATTTTTCACCCTTATCTCATCTTTCAAAATGTACAAGAAAAAAGGGCAGCTGCCCCCTGGACCTACTCCATGGCCTATTCTGGGGAACCTCTTTCAGCGAGATGTACTACCTTTATATAAACATTATCAAAAGGTAAGGCTAGTTAACTATTGTACCTCTTCCAAGTTTCTGATGATGACTTTGAAAAATATCTTCTTTAATCGTATTAGTTTGATTTATTCTATAAACAACCAATTTTATTTGGGGCTCATGTGTATCTTCAATGGGAATTATAGTATAAAGTCACCTTGTAACAATCTGATAAACCCGCAGTGGAGGTTTTAAAGTTCATTACCAGCGGTGGGTTGCTACCGGTTCACCCTGGATCAGGCGAACCAGTAACAGCAGCGGTGGGAGGCTCCACCCATCCACCCAGACGCGCGCGCCCACAAGCAAACCAGTAGCGACAGGTTTTGAAACCACCCCTGTTCATTACTGTCATGGTAAATGTCTAACTACTACATCTCCCTGATCACCCGGACCTGCAAGGGTTAACTGACCACACATCCCATAACCCCTGTAACCACTCCTTGCCTCTTTGCCCCTCCTCCTGGGCATAAAGGCTCCGACCATGTGGTCCACAGGGTATTCCAGATGTATACCTGAAAGAGAAAGGTACAAGGTCAGTGACCTCCAGTACCATTAAATCTATAATAAAGTTACAGAAAAGAATCGAAGTCTGTCTTTGAGTTATTGGGCTAGATCCAGCTTTCAACAAAATGGTAGCAGAGGTCAGTTGCCCATAACTCCAGATAATGACTGAACCCAACACCTACCCTGAAGAAGCACACAGAGTAGAGACCAGAGCTCTTACCAAGAAGATGGCTGAGAAACTTGCAACCAAAGCCACAGCCATGGAGGAGACAGAAGCTGGAAGTGAGCAGGACTCCAGCCTGGACTCACAATCAGATGAAGAGGGGCCATCCATGGAGATCACCGCCCTGGAAGAAGAAACAGCACAGAAAATGAATAAATTCAAACTCTCCATCCTGAAACTGATGGAGGCAAGCAGCGACAAAGAAAACCTCATCGCGGACCTTCAAAGCCTCTTCAAGCAGCAAGAAGCAGAGATTGAGCCCCCAAAGACCACCGAGAGAGAAAAGCCAGCAAAAAAGGGTAAGCCACCCCAACCCGATGATCCTGAGCTGGCAGAATCCATTTTTGCGCCCTCTTCCCGGCGGCCATCTTGGGACGAGCACCAGCCAATGGGAAGCCAGGATTTGAATCCCTTGGCGCGAAAATGCCCGAACCCCGAAACAGACGAGGGAGACTCAGAAAGCGACAACGAAGAGCCCAACTCTGAAAGCGACCATGAAGAAACTACAATCACTAAGAAAAAAACACCTACCGATCTCGAGTTGCAAAAGGCAATCGAGACCATCACCGCTGCCCTGGGCTCCGCTTTCGAGCCTCCTGCAGCACTCAAAAAATCAAAGAAAAATCCTGGAAAACACAAGAAGGCCAGGACAACCAACAATGACCAGGCAACCGAGTCACAGCCAACTAAAGACACTGCGCACACCAACAACCGGCACAAAAGACCGCCCACCTGCAGGAAGGATCAACCACAGGACTCGAACTCGCCACTCGCTACACCAACTACGCGAGGCCCGAGAGAGAAGAGAAGAACCGGCTACTCACCAACGCCATGACATCCACCAGGCCGATCCACGCGATCAGGGACCAGCGACCACGAGGGAGGATCCGCCGCCGCCGTCGCCATTACCGCCGAGCCGCTGGGTGCAGGGAATCCTCAACCTATGACCTCCGCTGCTGCTGCGCCGCCGACCCGTGGAAGTCCTCAACTTACGACCACGTCGCCTCCTCACCTTCTACCCTTCTTCGCCGGGGATCCGGCCATCCAGCAGTGGTGTCCACCTTCAGGAGGAATTTTCGGACCCACCAGGGGTGGGTCCAGCCTCCCACCGACAGGCCTAGGCCTAGGCCTGGGAGCTCCAGCAACAGGAACCTCACCCGATAGACTCCAGCGCGGAATGAGTTTCGCGCATGCCCAGTACCTGCCTGTGACAAGAGAAGCAAGCTACGTAGATCCAAGCAAGTACAGAATGGCCACAGACATCCGAAAGCCTTATTGTGAGTTCAATCACAGTTTGGACCATGGACAGCTCCCCCCAGTAAGTAACCTTACTAACATTTCTGGGGCAAATTATGCCAATTTGCCAAAATTACAGTTAGATGGGGGTAATGTTATAGAATGGAGTCAACAATTAAGAGTTGCTCTCATGAGAGAGAATGCACTGTTCCTAGCTAACAGACCTCCCCAAAAGCCCTGGTCACTGGAAATTGACTGTATTCATCACAGGGCATTTTGTATCATGTTAACCTCCATTCCATCTGCCATGTATCCATCTATTGAGGACAATCTGACTGTTTATGATGTTATGCAAAAACTATGTAACCTGTTTTATAGCCAGAGTAGAGCCACTACCACTAGAATATCTAGGGAGTTCCACTCCACCAAGCACAAGGCAGGGGTCCCCATGAGTGAGCACATTTTAAAGATGAATGCTACAAGGGCAGAGCTCATGCAGAGGGGGGAAATCATCACTGAAGAGAGCATGATAAGCATAATCATAAACTCTCTTGATAGCAGTTGGGACACTGCTATCCCAACTAAATAGCCTCAGCTTGCAATACCTAACACTAGGCGCACTGACCAGTCAGCTCATTGCAGAGGACACTCTGAGGAGGGAACGCCAACTATCCAAAAGGGATCCTAGACCCACGAAGAGGGTGGATTTCCAAGATAGGGCCAGGGATACCTCAGAATGTTATTCTTGTGGGTCAAGGAACCACTTAAAGAGGGATTGCCCCATGAACCATAGGGACAGGGGACAGCACGACAGTAGAGGGGGGAGGTCACCTGAACGCAGGTACCCAAAGGAAAGGGGGCGAGGGTGGTCACCCAACCCCAGGAAACACCACGAGCGCAGAGACCACTCCAGGGACAGTAACTCTGGCTCCATGTATGGGATCAGGCACGATGACCCAAATGACAAACATAAGGCAGAGAGAAACACATGGCTCCTGGACTCAGGGGCCACAAGTCACACTACTTGTAACCCAGAGCTGCTAGACTCACTCACAGAAGTAGACTCAGAAATAAAGGTGGCAAACCAAAACAAGGTCAAAGTAGTGGGGAAAGGAAACATACACATCACACAGATAGGGGATTTAAAAGGGGTACTGTACGTGCCAGAGATACCCCACAATGTGCTAGCCATCACAAAGCTGACACGGGACACAAACATAGAGATAAAATTCAAAGATGGAAAGGCACACTTGATCAAGCAAGGGAAAGAGATAGGAAAGGTGACCATACACGAGGGACTTCCCTACTTCACACCCAACGCAAGGGAGGAAGAAGGCATTGATACCAACACGAACCACAAAGTAGATGAGTATCCAGAAATAGAGGGGGTGCAGCAAGAGGCAGGAAGTGGCCATGAGAAGGCCAACAAGTCTGTATCTATCGGTAAGCCATTGCATGATAACTGTGCCCACCTCCTCCACAGGAGGCTGGGACACATAAGTTTCCCCATTGTAAAGAAAATGACGGAATGTACCGAGGGTCTCAAAGTAAAGAACTGCGAAAACTACTTGGAGTGTTCGGTCTGTAAGCGTTCTAAGATCAAGGTTAAGGCCATCCCCAGGGGATCCAAACGAACCACAGAGTCCCCCTTCCAATTGGTGCATATGGACTTGGTAGGGCCATTGAAACCCTCTGTAGGGCATAGGAAGCGATTCTTCCTCACGATTGTGGATGACTACACTAGATACGGGTATGTCTACTCCCTCAGACACAAAAATGAAGTATTCCAAAGGTTTAAAAAATTCCACAGAAGAGTAGATATGCAACATAACATGAGAATAAGGCAGATAATGACAGACAGGGGCTCAGAATTCATGGCCAAGGAATTCACAAGGTGGCTGAGAGAACAGGGCATAGCGCATTACACCTCTTCACCTTTCTCCCCCTTCCAAAATGGAGTCTCAGAGAGAAAGAACTGGGTATTGCAAACCATGATGAGTTGCGCCCTGGAGGATGCTGGGATGGGGCAGCATTTCTGGTCAGAGGCACTACACTACGCTAATTACACCCTGAATAGACTGTGGTCAAGCTCTATCAATAAGACACCATACGAGATGCTATACAACAGAAAGCCCAACATCGCACACTTACACATATTCGGCGCCCCAGCCGATGTCCACATCCCCAGACAATTAAGAAAGAAAGGGGAGAAATTATCAAAAAGACTGAGATTCGAAGGTTATGAACCGGGCACAAAGGGCTACAGATTTGTCGACAACAACAACCGGTTTGTGGTTTCCAGGTCAGCCAGTTTCCACGAAAATGCAAACTGGTCGAGGGTACACTCCAACGACATTCCCACCAATAGGGTCACATTCGAACATGACCAAGGGAAAAAGGAGGTCAGAGAGGTCGGAGGGCATAAAGCCAACAATCGCAAGGCAAGCATCAAAGAGTGGAAAGAAGGGCACCCTTCCCTGAAGATAGATGACCTGACAGACAAAGAGGCAGACAACATGCAGGAAACCGAGCCAACCCCCAGCAGGCCAATCAGAGAAACCAGAAACAAGCTGCCAAGGAAGCTGGAGGACTACGTTATGGCCATCCACAACACCCATTTCACGCCCAGGTCATATGAGGACATCCTCGGGCTCCCCCAGAAAGAGAAAGAAAAATGGATGTCTGCCATGGAGAAGGAGATGGAGAGCCTAAGAAACCTCCAAGTATACTCACCTGCCCAAATTCCAGAGGACAAAAAACCAATAGGAACCAAATGGGTGTTCAGAGTTAAGACATTAGAAGACAACAAGGTCCTGTACAAGGCAAGACTAGTCACGCAGGGTTTCGCCCAAAGATACCCCAAAGACTATACAGACACCTACTCGCCAACCGTCAGGGCGGAGAGCGTCAAAAGCGCCCTGGTGGTGGCCACCATCCTGGGCTTGGAGATTTTCCAATTCGATGTACAAACAGCGTACCTGCACGCCGAGTTGGACAAAGAGATATACGTTAAAGCACCGCCTGGGTACAATGAGGGCGG